ACACAGAGTCCAACACACAGAGTCCAACACAGAGTCCACAACACAGAGTCCAACACAGAGTCCAAAGTCATTATTAATTTCATTTAAATTAATTTCAGTGAACTTTACTAATCAAAAAAGATAAAAAGATAACACAAAACACAAAGCTCGCTGCATTGACTCAGTGCAGATACAGGTACAATCTCATCTTTAAATTGAATTTTGCACATTAAGCGTCAAGTATATGTAATACTCATATTACTGTAGATGATATTATGTGAGCAACAAATGATTTTTATATTAATTTAGTGAGTTTAATGTGATATCTCCCATCAATACTAGCAGAGAGACAGAATCCATCATCGTTTGATGGATGTTTATTACCGACTTCAGGCTGCTGCTGCTCTGAGCTGTATTTGGGATGACTTTAAACAGGATGGTTCCCTGAGAGTTGATCTGACAGGAGAACAAAAGAATGACACACAAAGGTACTAATTCGCCTGATATTGTGCACAAATTGTTCATAAATCATTGGAACATGAAATGTTTTTCTCAGGCGACCTACCAGTATCTGGATGACCTGTTCTGGCTCCAGACCCACCACAGGGTTCCCATTCACCTCCACTAACAGATCACCAGGATGGAGGAGTCCTGGGGCACACACACACATTCTGACCATGTTTAAAACGACAATAATTGTACCTTATATTGCATACACATTAACATCCACACACAGTAAATACAGTGTAATCTCACCGCTGCGGTCGGCCAGTCCTCCATGAATCACCCGGGCGATGTAGATCTCTCCCGTCTCCTCGTCCCTTTTTATAGTCGCCCCCTGACAGACAGACAGTTACTCCAAATTTAACCCTTCACTGGCCACAGTAACGGCTAACCTTTAGTACACTGTAAAAAAAAACTGTAATATTCCAACAGCTGAGCACCAAAAAAAACCAAAAAAACTGTAAAATTCTATAATTCAAATACATTTTTTAATATCTAATTTAACATAAAATCTTTATACATTTTTTAAAATCTTTTTATTTTTAATTATACTGTAAAAACAATTAAATGAGCTATAAATACAGGTAAACTCTGCTATAATACAAATAATCAGGCTTAAATTTACAGAAGAGTGCTGTTATTATTAGATTTTTCTTATTTTAATCTGAATGTTAATAGATATAGAACTGTAATAAAAGTAATTATCTGTGAAATTACAGTAATTATTGCTGTTTACGCTGATAAAAACTGTATTTGGACAGTTTACAACATTTATTCAACCTCCATTATTATACAAGATATGTCAGTTAGCAAACTAATCCATGTAAAATTACACAACAAATTAAATAAACAGTAAATATTCTTCTAATTTTATGGCTTTTTACAGTTACAGATTTTTCATGTTACTTTACACTTAACGTGTACAGGCTATTTTGTAATTTTATTAATATATATGTGTATTTGTACAAAAATCTGTTTTGGTGCTAAACATACAGATTTATTTACAGTGTAGCTACTAGCCTTTAGTATAACTCTGTATAAACAGAGGGGAAACAGAGGGGAATATAAATTATGAAGCTACAAATGGAGGATGGGATGAAAGCAACTGATGACAGAAAGATGATATCACTGCGGCAAAACTTGATCCCTACTGGCCACCGTACTCTCAGTCAGACATTTAAATCAAAGCAAAAATGTATCAGAATTTTGCCTTCATGTGCTCCTCATATGTAAATAGGACATAAGAGAATGAACAAAACCTTTCTGTTTGCCAACACGTTGATGTTTAGCGAGGATAATGCTTGGGCGCCCGGTTAACTCAGTCGGTAGAGCTGGCGACCCATATACGGAGTTGCTGCAGCAGTCCGGGTTCGAATCCAACCTGCGGCCCGATCTTCAGCTGTCACTATCTAATAAAGGCATTTTTTAAAAAAGAAAAAAAAGCAAGGATAATGCTCAATCATGTTAACATGCATCATACGTTTGAGGCTGATGGGAATGTAATTATTTCTGTAGCTATTGCACATTGCACATAAACTGAAGGATCACCAAAAAAAATTCATCCTGAGGTGAACATGAATGTCTGTATAAAACTGCATTGCGATCCGTCTCAGTCTGAAGCAAAGGATCAACTGATGGACTGACTGATGCTGTAGTCCGCTACTCTGCTATCATGGCTAATATCTGACTGGGAAGGGAGAAGTTAGAGCGAGAAGGAGAAGCTCCAGAAGTCTGGTAAGCTCACTTCTTTCTCAACGCCACACTAACAGACTTTTTTTTATCATTTTCAAACTTGTAGTCTTCAGCCCCAACTGACGCTGACTCAAGTGACATCACTTGAGGATATTTATAAGACTTCTCAACACGAAGACACACAAAAGACCTTATAGAACTTTTTTGTGCAGTAAAAATGTGAAAAATCTGTGTTCGACTTTGCATCATTATTATGCAGATGACACCCACATTTATCTCTATGACCAAGCAACTATTGTCTCATCGATTTGTGCATTTATCCACCCAATGATTTAATGGGCCTGGATTTCCTTCAACTAAATGTCACCGCTGCAACAAAGTCTTAAACTAACACAAGAGTATCTGAAACTGCAAAGAATAAAAGAAAAGTGATGACAATGGTCAAGTTTAAGGATATCTGGATGAAATGTAATTTCTCTTTTAAATACCTTGTTAAAAAAATTGTTTTCCTCTTCATGTCTTAAATACAGAGGTAAAGAAACAACCGTCTTTCAGAGGTGTTCAATAACTGATATCTAGTCTGTTTCTGATATCATTAACATAGAACTTAACATTGTTCCTTAAACTAATAATTAGGATTCAAATGTGGATGTAGATCATCATTTTCAGTCTGAGATGTACGTCTACGGATTGAAAAAGTTAAAGAACCAGAGGTATTTTTTTCAATGTGATGGTATATTTTCAATGCGAGAGTTGACCTCCATCCATCCCTTAACGTCTTTTTATCAGGGGGCTGAAATGCAGCGGCAGCAGGTCAAGCAGGACACTCCAGACGTCCCACTCCCTAGCACTTCCAGCTCCTCCTGGGGGATTTGGAGTCATTCCCAAACCAAATTAGATATATAATCCCTCCAGCGAGTTCTGGGTCTACCCCTGGGTTTCCTTCCAGTTGGATGTGCCCGGAAAACCTCAAAAGGAAGGCGCCCAGGAAGCATCCTAATCAGATGCACGAACCACCCCGTGAAGGAGCACTTCAAGCTCCCTTTGGATATCTGAACTCCTCTCTCTGTCTCTAAGCTGACCCAAGCCGCCCTAAGGAGGGAACTCATTTCAGCTGCTTGTATCCACAATCCCATTCTTATGGTTACTACCCTAAGCTCATACAGGTGAGGGTTGGGTCAGAGATTGACTGGTAAATCAAAAGCTTTCCCCTATCTTCGAACCTCAGTGGTCCGGTAAAACACCACTGCTGATGCCGCACCAATCTGCCTTCATCTCACGCTCCAATTTACCGTCACTCATAAACAAGAGCCCAAGATACTTAAACTCCTTTGCTTGTGGCAGCAACTCACTCTCTCCCATCCTACTTATTTTTGTTCTTCTTCTTAGTCGTCAAGCAACCTGTGCTGTTACAGTCTTGTTGGTCCTCCAGTGGAGCTCTAGAAACTGATCCATTGTTGAGCCTCACCTGTCCATTACTACCACTGCCACCTGCCCTGGGGGTGGCACTGAAGGTCACCACCTTCCTTTTAGAGCCTCCGTTTATTCGTTTTGCACTTCTAGATGTTGCAAAGCCGTCTGCACAGGAACTGACAGACGTGGATGAAGAGGAGGAGGAGCAAGAAGAAGAAGAAGAGGAGGATGAAAG